AAGAGAGAGTGCTCAGTCCTCAATTGCATTTCCATTTTTCTAACAAACCTTGACTCAACTCAACCCCATGAAACCATCCAGATAACCAAGCAAGCTAAATGTCTTCATCAGCCATTACCACTCCAACTACAAGATAGAAAAAAAAAAGAAAAAAAAGAAAAAGAAAAAAGGAGGACAAGTAACCTTTTGTACTTGCGAAGTAACCAGGGCTAACTTATCTTCAGCATTCTGTGCTTCAGCTTCTAAAATATGGAGATTGAAGTTGTTCTTTCTGGAAGCAGCCCAAAGCAGTTGTACCTAGGCATCATAAAGCCTATTTCTCAATTTAGTCAAACCTTGCACAGCAAACAGAAAACTCCTAGCCGCTCATAATGTCAACTGGAAAGAAAACATATAAGAGTAGAGTGCGAATCTGGAACACAAATTATGTGCCATATGTAACTTAAGCAACCTCTTCTACTAGTGCCTTCACCCTTTCATCAGCATGTAGTGAGTCATCCTGCAATTAGTTTAGCATATCATTTCAGAGGAACAATATATTCAGTGCATGGTTGTCAAGTACATAAATTAAAATTAAAACACCAATGGCATGGATTATTTTGAATGTTGATGGGATATATGTAATTCTTTTCATTTTCCTTTTGTGTCACAATGATGATACAAGTAAATGAGCAAAAAAAATGGTAATTCCCAAGCAAGAATTACAGCAGCATACTTTTAAATTAAAAGTTTTTCCATCCACATTCCCTAGAAAACGAAATCCACAGCAGTACCAAGATTTGTAGCCTCTAAATAATAGTAGCTAGCTACTCTCCTTCAGACACCTTAGTTCTATTACATTAACAGTCCATTTATGCAACACAGAGATATCTAAATTTTCAGAATTTTTTAGGCATTTATATTTTATTAGACAGCATACATATACCATTCATGATCTTACAATTGAAACATACTCCTCTTTATAGTAGGGAAACCAGAGAATGTATGTTTTTGGTATTCTGCTTCCTTAATTTTTCCTGCTTTAACTAAACTGTCTTGACTCTTAAAAGTGCAACAAGCAGTAAAAAAACACTAGTCCAGAGAACCAATCACAGAATCAAACGGACCTTAAGATTCAATAAGGCAGACTGAAGGTACCCAATCTTCTCATCCATGTCCTGAATCAACTTCTTTCGTTCCTTGAGATAAATGTTTTTCCCATTGAGCTTTTGAATGCTTTCCTCAAGAACAGATTCTGCATCCATTTTCAAATTCAGCAAGATCTCAAGATTTACACTCACATACAACAACATGCACAAAATCGATACAGCAAACTCAAAAACTCCTCAAATTTTTGCATCTTCCTAGGGCAATAACTTGGAATGTGATTCTAATTATAAGGAGAATGAACAACTGTTGGAACAAACACCGAAACCTTTCTTGCTACTTTTCAAGCAGGGAAGAGTAGGAATTTAACGAGAACGTACCGAGACGAGCGATTTTGAACTTAGCATCGAGCAATTCTCCGTTCAAGTGGCCGTCGTCCGGCTGATTTTGCGATGTGGGAGCAAAGAAAGATGTCAAAATGGCGGGGAAAAGGATCCAATAAACCGCCATTGCCATCTCTGCTATGAAAAGGGTACAGAGAATTTACAATCTTAGATTCTTACATCTTCATTAAGAAATGTGTTTTTTTTAGCACTAGTTACACATTTTTTTCTTTTTTTTTTTTCTTTTTTTGCCTTTTCTTCATCTTTCTTGTTAAAATGATTAAAATTTTATAGTATTTTGATAATTTTAATATTTCTAAAAAAAATAT